CATTTGGGGCTTGTATATACTATTGTATAAGGTCATTTGGTGTTTGTATGTAATATTGTATTATGACATTTGGTGCTTGTATATACTATTGTATTAAGACATTTGGGGCTTGTATATACTATTGTATTAGGACATTTGGTGCTTGTATATACTATTGTATTAGGACATTTGGTGCTTGTATATACTATTGTATTAGGACATTTGGTACTTGTATATACTATTGTATTAAGACATTTGGGGCTTGTATATACTATTGTATAAGGACATTTGGTGCTTGTATATACTATTGTATTAGGACATTTGGTGCTTGTTTATACTATTGTATAAGGTCATTTGGTACTTGTATATACTATTGTATTAAGACATTTGGGGCTTGTATATACTATTGTATTAAGACATTTGGGGCTTGTATATACTATTGTATTAGGACATTTGGTTCTTGTATATACCATTACATTGCAACATTTGGGGCTTGTATATACCATTACATTACAACATTTGGGGCTTGTATATACTATTGTATTAAGACATTTGGGGCTTGATTATACTATTGTATTAGGACATTTGGTGCTTGTATATACTATTGTATTAGGACATTTGGTGCTTGTATATACCATTGTATTAGGACATTTGGTGCTTGTATATACTATTGTATTAGGACATTTGGTGCTTGTATATACCATTGTATTAGGACATTTGGTGCTTGTATATACTATTGTATTAGGACATTTGGTGCTTGTATATACTTTTGTATTAGGACATTTGGTACTTGTATATACTATTGTATTAGGACATTTGGTGCTTGTATATACCATTGTATTAGGACATTTGGTGCTTGTATATACTATTGTATTAGGACATTTGGTGCTTGTATATACTATTGTATTAGGACATTTGGTACTTGTATATACTATTGTATTAGGACATTTGGTGCTTGTATATACCATTGTATTAGGACATTTGGTGCTTGTATATACTATTGTATTAGGACATTTGGTGCTTGTATATACTATTGTATTAGGACATTTGGTACTTGTATATACTATTGTATTAGGACATTTGGTGCTTGTTTATACTATTGTATTAAGACATTTGGTGCTTGTATATACTATTGTATTAGGACATTTGGTGCTTGTATATACTATTGTATTAAGACATTTGGTGCTTGTATATACTATTGTATTAAGACCTTTGGTGCTTGTATATACTTTTGCATTAGGCCATTTGGTGCTTGTATATACCATTGTATTAGGACCTTTGGTGCTTGTATAGACCACTGTAATAGGACATTTGGTGCTTGTATATACCATTGTATTAGGCCATTTGGTGCTTGTGCATACATTTGTATTAGAGCATTTGATGCTTGTATATACCATTGTATTAGGCCATTCGTTGATTGCATATACCATTGATCTAGGACATTTGGTGCGTGTTTATACTACATTGTATTAGGCAATTTGGTGATTGTATAAATTATTGTATTAGGGCATTTGGTACTTGTATATATTACAGTATTGTATTAGGCCATTTGTTGCTTAGTATATACTATTGTATTTAGGCATTCGGTGCTTGTATATACTATTGTATTAGGTCATTTGGTGCTTGTATATACTATTGTATAATGACATTTGGTGCTTGTATATACTATTGTATAAAGACATTTGGTGCTTGTATATACTATTGTATAAAGACATTTGGTGCTTGTATATACTATTGTATTAGGTCATTTGGTGCTTGTATGTACTATTGTATTAGGTCATTTGGTGCTTGTTTTATACTATTGTATTAGGTCATTTGGTGCTTGTATATACTATTGTATTAGGTCATTTGGTGCTTGTATATACTATTGTATTAGGTCATTTGGTGCTTGTATATACTATTGTACTAGGCCATTCGGTGCTTTTATATACTATTGTATTAAGGCATTAGGTACTTGTATATACTATTGTATTAAGGCATTCGGTACTAAGGCATTCGGTACTTGTATATACTATTGTATTAAGGCATTCGGTACTTGTATATACTATTGTATTAAGGCATTGGTGTTTGTATATACACCCGATGGGTTACTTTATGATGCTTATGTTTGTAATAAAATTTTAGATGCAGGAAACATTAATTGTTGGTATTCATCTATGAGATATGTCCTTCAATCACTTGATATACAAAATTTGAATACAAAGCTCAATAGATTAATTAAATTTGTAAAATGTAAACTTTGTAACAGTTTTAAAACATTTTGGGGGGTCAAAAGATCTGATACCTTATCACAAGGTAATAGTAAATTAGAAAATTATTTCAACCTCAAGACTGACTTCGTAAAGGAGGCTTATTTATCAATTAAAGATTTTAATATAAGAAGAGCTATATGTAAATTGAGAATAAGTGCACATGATCTTAAAATTGAGAAAGATAGGTATAGTAAAAAATACATAGAGAGAAGTCAGCGTCTATGTCATCACTGCCTATCACATGGATCAAATTCTATTGAAGATGAGACCCATTTCACAGTAAGTTGTCCTTTATATAACGAACAGAGAAAATTATTATGGGATAAAGTAAACAGTTTTTGTAATAATTTTAAAGAATTACCCAAGGATAAAAAATATTTCTGGCTGTTCACAAATGAGCATTTACCAACTCTTATGTGCCTAGGCAATTATATAATTAAGTGTTTAGAAATAAGATCCAGGTGGATACAAAATATATAAAATTATTATGCAATTATTGTTAATGTTATGTAAGACACATGATGTGTTAGGCTCTGATCCTGTCCAATATATGATAGTATTATATTAGGATATAGTTTTTCTTTTTTCCAATCATATTGTGCTTAATATTGTTGTAAATGATGCCCTTTATGGGTTCTTGATTAGATTAATAAAATTCTTATCTTATCTTATACTATTGTTTCAGGTCATTCGGTACTTGTATATACTATTGTATCAGGTCATTTGGTGCTTGTATATACTATTGTATCAGGTCATTCGGTACTTGTATATACTATTGTATTAGGTCATTTGGTACTTGTAAATACTATTGTATCAGGTCATTCGGTACTTGTATATACTATTGTATCAGGTCATTCGGTACTTGTATATACTATTGTATCAGGTCATTTGGTGCTTGTATATACTATTGTATCAGGTCATTCGGTACTTGTATATACTATTGTATCAGGTCATTTGGTACTTGTATATACTATTGTATCAGGTCATTCGGTACTTGTATATACTATTGTATCAGGTCATTCGGTACTTGTATATACTATTGTATCAGGTCATTTGGTGCTTGTAATTATTAACAAGACAATTATCACCTGATTTCATATTTGTAAGTCATTATATAATTATATCAAGTATATAAAGATTTGACATTTACACAAGGTCGATACCACCGCTGGTGGACTGTTATCTCCGAGAGTATCATCAGCTCAGTAGTCAGTCCTTTAGTACTGACATGATGTTTAACATATTTTCTAAATTACCCCGTTCAAAAATTAAGAAATTGTTAGGAAACTAAGGTTCCTACTCCCTCAGACAAAGTTGACTTTAGATGAAATTGGCTATGCTTTTAAGTCCCTTTTGGTGATAAAGCTCCAAACACATCTTCGTATTTATACATCCATGGCTTCCAAATGATAAGATTTGATATTTTCTGATGAAGTTAAATCCAGTTTCGGATGCACGATATTTATAAAACACTATTTTCATTTACTACAAAGTTCATACGATTTATTCATTGATTGGTTGTTTATTTGTTTTACGTCCAGTAACAAATATTTCATTCATATTCAAAACGGAAATCAGCAATACATTCGGTAAGCTTTCTTTGGAAAGTGGGTAGACCGGAATTTAGACAAAAAACTGAGAAAAAGGTTTGTAGGATAGGGACAGAAATTAAGTCATGCAACAGTTTCCCTACAGACCTTCAGAGTTTGCACAAAGTCTATTAACGTGCATAGAGCGTTGACTCGTCATACATAAGATATAGGATTTTTAACGTCCAAATTGTGAACGGACGTTGCTGTGTATTTGTACATCATGCATAGCCAGAATGTCAATTCTCCGTAGTATAGGTTTTATTTTATAATGGATGAAGTCCAGGTGACCATAGTTCTATTTGCTGGTCAATCCTTGGGGTTCATAGGGTTTAGTTAAGTATTACTGTATACACAGGTACTACTAAAAAATCTAGAGGCAATAAACGGACTCACAAAGTGCAGGTATTATTATCGTTTCCGCTATATAAAGGAATTTTGGCTTAATTTCGATTAAAATGGTTACTTTAAAAACTGTCCTTAAGATTAATTTCCTTTAAATCAGAACTTTTTAAATCATGACCACTGATTCTGTGGGTTGTTTTACGGCTGTAATTTATTTATATTCATGTTGAAAAATCTCATTATATGCAGATTAAGTGATACATATTGAATTCTCATTAAAAGTTGTTATGCATTAAACATTCCTCTTTAATCAACAAAAATAATTCAGACACGATGCAACAGTTTCTATTTACATGTAATTAAATGAGTAAAACATCCACAGTGATACATTTAAATCGGAAGTTTTGGTAAAAGTTTCCGGACTTTCTGATCCGTTTTCACTATAAACCAATTTAAATTGTCATGTAATTAAAGTGTTTATACATACGTGTATTTTGCATTTCTCAATATCTTACACCAGGAAATCAGTTTATGGATGAAACACATATAGGTATTAAAGGTATTTTAGCACAATTCTTTACCGAGATAGCGACACAATATAAAATTTAGCACATTCTGCTTTGATGCAAGTTTGAATGGTCACACTCTTGAAATCTTAGCCTGCACAATTCTGACCAACCTCAAGTTAATGAATGCATTTACAATATCTTAAATACTGCATTGTTAAATGTTTATATTGAACATATCGAGTTTTCAATGACAACCGGATTTCAGCATTTAAGTCACATCACAACCTATAGTTTTTTTCTGAAAAGTAATACAATATAGTACTTACCCGTGTTTTAAAATGAATATCACATGGTGTTTTATTTGATGATAGTTTTAATTTCTCTAAAATGTATTGCATATATACACCTGCGTTTGTCTGAAAATAGTTTCCTTTCCAACAACCTTCAATATTATCAAAATCTACTCCAAGACTTTTCAAGAATTGAATACTCTGATCATCAAAAGTTATTTGATAAGAAGTGTAGATAAGTTCGTTTCTTTCCTTTTCCTCAAAAATTGTGATTTTTGAAACTTTTGTTGACCTAAGTGCGATTATGGCAGACGATAATCCAATTGGTCCTGCGCCAACAACCACAACTTTGATTTTGGTAAATGATTTTCGGTACCGGTCATAAATTGCCTTTGATCCAGCAAATGCGGCTAATATAGCTATTGTAATGAATAAGCTAACTTGTGTTTCATATTCATCCATTTCAAGGAAATATTCACTAAATAATAAATTGTCATTACTCAATCCGAACCGTTGCATGATTTTGCTTTGATTGGTTTTTCAGACGTTGCATATCTTATTTCACATCAATAGACAGTTTTATAACACCGTATAAATAACAAACAAAATATACCTGTCGGTAAAGATCAATATACTTTTTATACGATCTGATCAATTTTCAAATCAGAACTACATATTTTCCCCTTCTATGTATGTTACAAATAACACATGTATGTAGATTAATTCTTGTTGTCATTTTTACCTTCCTATAAAAATAATCCACTTAACTTAAGTTTATACGAATGTCTCTATTTTAAACCGGTCCATCGCTACAGGGAAACTACTGCGACAGATCGTTGAATTGTGGTCATTAAGCCTCCCTGCTTCTGATGATCACTACTGACGTATTAGCACACTGCGATATTTATTCAATTTTTCTTTCATGGTTATTATATATACGATCGTTTACCCCTAGTATTGTAATCGAGTCGTACGTTTACGTACAGATATTATTAAAATGTACAGAAGGCGTGAAGCGGATTACATATCATTAGAAAAAGATTAGAGACAGGGCTAAGCAACAACGTTTTCAATATTTCTAATTAATTTAATATTAACCAAATGCAAAACGTTAATTGAATAGTGATTTATCATTTTATTGCCATATCTCTCTCGGGTTAAAAGGAAAAAATACCAATTTGCTTATCAAAATCTACTACCATTGTAGTTAAATGTAAAATACCTATTAAAAGTCGGTTCAGCGTAAATAAAAGTCACCTATACATTAGATTGTTATTGATTATTTTATTCCCGAACTATAATACCGTGTGTTGATGCACGTAAAAGGGAATATCTTGATATGATGTAGTACCATATATTTTCGTTAAAATTTCTTTGTAGAATTAAAATACATTTACACGGCGATATTTTAACTTGTCTTAATGTGCTAAAGTCAAAGAATTTTATAAGTGATTAAAATGTATACCATTTCTTAGCTTTCAGATGCGTATGAAACAAGATTGTATCGACTTGTAAACAAATTGCAGAATAACGTGGTGGAACGTGATCTTATGCTGTTTGAAGAAACTACAACCAGATTTTGTGCCGGATTGAGGGGAGGGGATAGTGACATTCTACTCCCCTTCATATCATGACTTGTTAAATATATGGAAACAGTTAATATTACCACCTTTAATTTTAACCATACATATTTTTATTTGAATTGACAAAACCAGTACTATAAAGTGTGTGTTGTGCGTTAACGATTCCATTACTAGAGGGATGTCTAGGGGAGATATTTGATTTAGTCTACTAAAACAGTTCCGCCTAGTTTCGTTTGACTGGTGTATCTTTTAGATATTGGAGTCTAAGAAAATGAATCCCCACGATTTAATTATGCGTTTTACATAAACATGTGATATTATTGTTATAGTCTGTCACTTACATGTATATTCCTGTCAATAAGTTATTGATAACCTAATATGATATTTTATCGTTATTTCCAGATTTAATACCGCAATATTTATTATATTATGAATAATAAACGTGTAAGGTGAATTTATATATACATTATGTAGTTCGTTGATATCAAAATAGTGTATTAAAATGGGCAGCAAAAGTTCCATGTTTCATGATGTTCGACTAAAACTCTTTCTTAAATTCTTACCACCATTCTGTCTACAGAAAAAATCGACCTACATGAATATTGTGATGAAATATATTCGACCAAAGGTGTCAATCAAATACAGATTCTTAAAAATTCTAAACGCCTATTTCAAAATCTTCGATTTAAAATCTTTAGAATTATGCAGCAATATAAAAAGTTTTTTTTTGTAATTTACACTATAATCCATAATCTCAATTAAAAGGTCGAATACATCGCATCAATAACAGACCTTGTTCTACAAAAAAAGGAAAGGTAGATACAATGGTAGATGTATCAGTTCATAAAATATCTTACTTCGTGAAGAACCAGACTCCAACAATAAATACACGGAAGATAAAATCGTTAACATGCTAGACATTCTGATCGACAACTTGTTTTCGCGGATTGATATTTCGATATACAGTTGTTTTTTTTTTCCAATGGCTACAAATTTGGCCCCCTACTGGTCAAGTTGTTTTTGTACTCATGTGAATCAGAATTCATACTGCAATATAATTTTATCAAAATAAAAACAAACAAACCAAACAGTATCTTGTAAAGGCCTTTAATTTCACCTTCATATATATTGATAATGTTTTGTCACTCAATAGCTTTCATTTCAGTGAGTAAAATTGAGAATGGAAATGGGGAATATGTCAAAGAGACAACAACCCGACCATAGAACAGACAACAGCAGAAGGTCACCAACAGGCCTTCAATGCAGCGAGAAATTCCCGCACCCGGAGGCGTCCTTCAGCTGGCCCCTAAACAAATATATATACTAGTTCAGTGATAATGAACGCCATACTAAACTCCAAATTGTATACAAGAAACTAAAATTAAAAATAATACAAGACTAACAAAGGCTAGAGGCTCCTGACTTGGGACAGGCGCAAAAATGCGGCGGGGTTAAACATGTTTATGAGATCTCAACCCTCCCCCTATACCTCTAGCCAATGTAGAAAAGTAAACGCATAACAATACGCACATTAAAATTCAGTTCAAGAGAAGTCCGAGTCTGATGTCAGAAGATGTAACCAAAGAAAATAAACAAAATGACAATAATACATAAATAACAAAAGACTACTAGCATTAAAATTCAGTTCAAGAGAAGTCCGAGTCTGATGTCAGAAGATGTAACCAAAGAAAATAAACAAAATGACAATAATACATAAATAACAAAGGACTACTAGCAGTTAACTGACATGCCAGCTCCAGACTTCAATTAAACTGATTGAAAGATTATGTCTTCATCATATGAATATCAGGCACAATCCTTCCCGTTAGGGGTTTAGTATCATACCATCATAACATATATGAGAAGAACATAACCCGTGTCATGCCAACAACTGGTTTTTAAATAAATGTGTTTAGTGCCGATGCAAAGACCCTATAAGTGAATCAATATTAACGCCAAAATATGCAATCTTTAATGACCTGACAACAGTATCGTAACTATATCCCTTCTTAATAAGTCTATTTAAAGGTTTTGTTAGCTTCAGAGGTGAATACTGACATTTTTGTGCTTTATAAAGAATATTTCCATAAAAAATTGGATGTGAAATACCTGAACGTATAAGAAGTCTGCATGTTGAGCTATATTTACGAATGATGTCCTTATACCGATGATAAAATTTAGTAAATGTTTTGACTAGTTTGTGATATCGAAAACCCTGGTGTAAAATTTTTTTCAGTAATACATAAATTTCTCTCGTTAAAATCTAAAACATTGTTACATACACGAGCGAATCGTACAAGTTGAGATATATAAACACCGTACGATGGTGACAAGGGAACGTCACCATCTAAAAATGGATAATTAACGATAGGAAATGAAAAATCATCTCTTTTATCATATATTTTAGTATTAAGCTTTCCATTAATGATATAGATATCAAGATCGAGGAAAGGGCAGTGGTCATTGTTAGTATTAGCTTTATTTAAAGTAAGTTCAACAGGATAAATTTCTTTAGTATACATACTGAAGTCGTCATTATTGAGAGCCAAAATATCATTCAAATATCTAAAAGTATTATTAAATTTGTGTATCAGATGTTGTTTCGATGGGTCTTTGCTGATTTTTGTCATAAATTGTAACTCATAGCAATACAAAAAAAGGTCAGCAATAAGTGGTGCACAGTTAGTCCCCATTGGAATTCCGATAACCTGACGATATACGGAATCTCCAAAGCGAACAAAAATGTTATCTAGTAAAAATTCAAGGGCATATATAGTATCAAAGCATGTCCAATTGACATAGTTTTTTTGTTTATTGCTACTAAAAAATGACCTAAACGAGTTTGAACATATATATTCACATTCTGACTTTTTAAATGCCCATTTAATTAGGTGTGTGAATTTTTTCTTAATGAGAATGTGAGGCAATGTGGTATATAGGGTAGAAAAATCAAAACTTTGAACAGATTCAAAATTACCAATATATGCATGTAATTTATCAAGTACTTCCAACGAGTTCTTGACACTCCAAAAGTAATTAATTTCACTATTTTCGAAGGCCTTATTTGAACAATTTATTATCAGGTTTTTGATTGTACCAAGTGTACTGGTAAGAAGAATAGACAATTTAGTAGTGGAACAATGGCTTGAAGACGAAATGAATCTATATTTGTAAGGTGTTTTGTGTAGCTTCGGAAGCCAATACACAGTTGGGACTTTCATTGTATTTGGTTCTGCTTGTAAAGCGGTAGCTAAAAGTTTATGTTTGTTACAGATGTCGTTTTCTGAAAATGGAGTCAGTTGGAATGTTGGTGAATTGGTGATTTCTTTTTTCAGAACCTCAATGTAAAATTTACGTCAAACAATAATAATATTATTAGCAGCTTTATCGGCTGGGACAAAAACAAATTCCTTGGCTAGTTCTTTTAGTTTATGTTTGATACGAGAAATAGGTTTATTGTGGTTATTGTTAAGAGTAAAATGTTCTTTAAAATGTTGAATACGTATATCAACTATGTTCATTACTGAATTAAAAAAAGAGTCCAAAGATTTTTTGTCAGCTTTTTTCCGTTTTATCCATTTCAAACAGTAAGTATGGAGTGAGTCGTGGATGATATTACGACACTCATTCCAATTAATAATTGACGGGGGACAATATTTAGGTCCTTTACTGAGGAATGATTTTAACTCTCGGTCTTGAACGATGTTAAGATCTCCTGTTATAACATGGGAAATGGGTCCATAAATGTATTCGGAATAACTGCAATTACATGAAGTAGGTGTATTTTCACTGATATTAACATTTTTACACAATTGGCTATAATTAAACACAAATTTCCGGGTAGATTTCTTGTAAATATAACAAATAAGAGGGAGCTCAGTATTATCAAAATATCCCGGAATTTGTTCTTTAACAGAATGGTCGTTAAAAATACCGGCAATATTTACAAAATCAAAACCTTTATTGACATACTTTATTTTAATAAACTGTTTTTTATGATCTTCAGGGCGATCAATTTTGGGAAACAGTTTAGAATAACAATATGCCATTATAATTTGAACGATTTCATACTTAGGACTGCTATATGAAATTGTGTTGCAATCCTCTAAAATTTTATTTAACTTATTAACCGGTAATGAACAGAGCTTTGTTAACAGATAATGTCTGCCGTTGTTTTTTGAAATAGAAATTAGGTCCGAAATATTGGTATGATTGGTCCGAAATTTTCTTTGATTGCGATTTTTTCTACGACCATGAGAACGGTTTTTACGAACAGTTTTAGAAACTATATCCAAAATGTTAACAGAATCGGTTCTTGCTATATTACCAATTCCCATGATATTATCATTAAGACCGAG